AATTTTAGTGACCTCCGACTGGTGAAGCTGGGAGTCATTAGCACAAACAGTCAATACTGCTTCGTAACGTGCGCACTATATACTGTGCATGACAGATCCTCCCTTGGAAAGATGTGAAGATCCTCTGACCTACTGGAACGGGCACAAAAATGTTTACCCATGTTTGTTTTCGATAGCAAAGCAATACACCATGTTCAGATAAGCATAGAAATTAGTTAATTTAATCTGTAAACAATCTGGTAGCAAACACAACACAGTGCAGGCGCAGTAAACAGGAAGTGATTACTTTAGAAACAGGAAACAAACCTGTAAACAATTTTGGGCTATTGTTATCCGTACAAATGCACAAGATTAAATTAGCAAGCAAACCATACGAAAAGTAACGTGTCTCAGCGTTTTGGATTTTACACCACTGATGAATACGTCTGTTTACTGCATTTTAACAATGCAACTACCTTGCAGTACATAACAGCAAATATAAGTCTACTGCATTTTAACAATGCAACTACCTTGTAGTACCATCAACATAACAGGAAATATAAGTTGTAAACAATCTGGTAGCAAACACAACACAGTGCAGGCGCAGTAAACAGGAAGTGATTACTTTAGAAACAGGAAACAAACCTGTAAACAATTTTGGGCTATTGTTATCCGTACAAATGCACAAGATTAAATTAGCAAGCAAACCATACGAAAAGTAACGTGTCTCAGCGTTTTGGATTTTACACCACTGATGAATACGTCTGTTTACTGCATTTTAACAATGCAACTACCTTGTAGTACCATCAACATAACAGGAAATATAAGTTGGATCACATGATACCATGGAAGCAATTATATATAGCAGTTTAGGACTGTGCTACATGGGCAGTGTGAGGATAAATTAATTCAATGAATCAGGCCTCATTTAGCAGATGATCAGTCAGATGAGACCCATCCACATTAAATACAGTTTTGTGTTGCCTAAGCTGTTGTCAAGCCACTTCCTTTCAAAATCAATGTGTTTACTCTGTTTAGTGTTTCCTAGGCTACATTTAGACATGTTCTGCACTTTCTGTCCAAACGTTGTGGGTGGAACAATTTTAAGTGTTTAACAAAGTTTGTTAAAGAAGAACAGAACAAAAAAGAGGGCTGATAGTAAGCATATCCTGTTAAAGACAAACCTTTAGCAAGAAGAGTTTAGAAAGAAACACTGCAGAGAGCACTATTTTTTTGTTCAGCTAATCAGTGACAATGTGGAAGCATATAATCATGTCCAACAAGGTCCTGTCCCTTACTTGCCATGTCCACACACAGACATATAATCATTGCATTCCTAATCAAATTAAAGTAGAATGTGCTATGTTAGCTCTTATTTGTTCAAATTTGATTATTTTGGAAAAAGTCCCAACCCCACTGCTAACATTCCATCATTTTCTGTCAGGGGAACAAAAACGTTTAACCATGACAGCCTCGCTAGGCTTTAAAGTGTAATGAAAACACAATGCTTTCGATGCCAAGAACAAATGACAGAACTGGGCATTTCTAATCATACAACGTGAAGCCACATCCATTTACATCACAGTTCAAAGAATGCCATAAAAAGAACTTAATATCCAAAATGTCAGCAGTTTATATCGCAGTCAAATACTGTATGTTCCATTTTATTTGCCGATGATGTTATTTGTGGTCTAAACACACAAACTCTAAATGCATCCGCATATGAATTAAAAAGGCTGAATGAGACCTGAGACCATGAGACAGCCAGGTGAGAGCCAATCACCATCATCTTGATTCCAGCAGAATCCATAGCATAGAGTTGTTCCCTGCTCCACTTCACCATGTGAAGGAATTTTACATAAAATGGAGGAAAAACATATCACTGGAGTTTTCAGCTTCCCAATTCTCTACAGTGTGTCTTTAATGAGTTACCAGGACATAAAAAAGAAGAACAACATGTGGAAACTAACTGCTGACATGCGTAGCAGTCTGTAGTATGGTGGATATATCAGAAAACAACTGTCTAGTCAGAGCTGATGTAAATCATGTGCTGAACACAACACACCCTCAGAACAGATTCACTGAAGGTCAGATTACAGCCATCTACTTTGAATCTGCATGTGTGACTGTATTGTAATCATATGTACATTTACAGTGAGCTGCAGCTCCTTCAGCCAAATGACATTTGTGTTGCTCAACAGTGACTTCATCTGGCTCTGCTGTTTGTAACTGTTCAGCCCATATATTAGAGCACTGTGAGCAAAGGCAGATCTGGGAGCATTAGGAACAAAACATCACTCAGTTTACTCAGTGGTTCACTAGAAAATTATACCTGCCTGTTCCCACTGAGAGATGTCAACCTGAGCAGGACACCTCCATTATCAGCAAAGTGTAGTAGCAGAGCGCTGTGCTCTGGACAGCAAAACAGAACAAATCTCTAAAATTAATAGTGTTGACAAGCCCTGATGTTCACAGTCAGAGCTGTATAAATGATGATGGAACTCTATGATGAAACTCATATTAAGCCTCATTTATCAAACGTGGCACTAGCACATAAGTCCAGATGTTCACGGAGAGCTCATGGAAAGTGGCTAAAGAAGAGACGTCCCACCCCAGGAAATGACCTCATGACAGCCAGTACCTTTTCCGTTCTCCACCATCTCCAGGCCATAAAAACACGGTTTCCTAAGTGTGCATCTGAATGTCAGTATTGCCACACAGTCAACAGTTGTGTATGGAGTCAGCTGGAATGTGAGCCGCCAGCACAGAGTGAGCTAACTGTATTGAATTTTCTCTTCTGCCTGTATCTACCCTTTTGCTGTGTTTTGTGTTTTGCTAGATGGTTTATAAAAAACCCTGCAAGTGTTTTTAATGCCAGTCAAGTGGCCTGTGTGCCCTCCGAAGATGTATGAAATCAAAGGCCAAATGGGCTTGTCCTTCAAATTATGCAATTTATGGGCAACACACTGAAAGCAGTGTATTTAGGTGTTAAAGGCATTTTTCACAGGAAAAGTTTTGACTTGAATATAGCCACACCTGTGCTGTGGGAAGCTGAGATTGGCTAATCACAGTATGCTAGGTGCAACAGGCTGTAATTGGTCAGACAGTTTATTGACCAATATGAATCTGATTAAGTTGAACTAATAAAATTGTGATTGTACTAATGATGCGATATACTGTAATATGTACCAGATCTGACTGTGTGTACAGAGTACCAATGGTATGAGTCCAAACTGAGCAGGACACATACACTATGTACTAACCAGAGAAGAGAAATTCTGAACACTTACACGAGTGTGTGTTCGAATGTGCATCTTCAAGCCATCATTCTTGCTGAATGCCTTGTCACAGTAGGGACACTGGTACGGACGCTCACCTAGGGAATGAAAACCAATAGTGTGTATGAGATACATATACAGTGAGGAACAGAAGTATTTGAACACCCTGTGATTTTGCACGTTCTCCCACTTAGAAATCATGGAGGGGTCTGAAATTCACATTGTAGGTGCATTCCCACTCTGAGAGACAGAATTAAAAAAAAATTTCAGGAAATCACATTGTATGATTTTTAAAGAATTTATTTGTCTTGCACTGCTGAACATAAGTATTTGAACACCTGAGAAAATCAGTGTTAATATTTGGTACAGAAACCTTTGTTTGCAATTACAGAGGTCAAACGTTTCCTGTAGTTCTTGACCAGGTTTGCACACACTGCAACAGGGATTTTGGCCCACTCCTCCACACAGATCACCTCTAGATCTGTCAGGTTTCGGGGCTGTCGCTGAGCAACGCAGAGTTTAAGCTCCCTCCAAAGATGTTCTATTGGATTGAGGTCTGGAGACTGGCTAGGCCACTCCAGAACCTTGATATGCTTCTTACGGAGCCACTCCTTGGTTATCCTGGCTGTGTGCATCAGGTCGTCGTCATGTTGGAAGAACCAGCCAAGACCCATTTTCAATGCTCTGACTGAGGGAAGGAGGTCGTTGCTCAAAATCTCACAATAAATGGCCCCACTCATCCTCTCCTTAATACAGTGCAGACGTCCTGTCCCCTTCACAGAAAAGCACCCCCAAAGCATGATGTTACCACCCCAATGCTTCACAGTAGGGATGGTGTTCTTGGAATGCAACTCATCCTTCTTTTTCCTCCAAACACGACGAGTGAAGTTTAGACCAAAAAGTTCTACTTTGATCTCATCTGACCACATGACTTTCTCCCATGCCTCCTCTGGATCATCCAAATGGTCTTTGGCAAACTTCAGACGGACCTGGACATGTGATGACTTGAGCAGGGGAACCTTCCGTGCAATGCATGATTTGAAACCATGACGCACGCACGCACTCCTATGGGCAATTTAGAGACACCAATCAACCTAAGCTGCACGTCTTTGGTCAGTGGGAGGAAGCCGGAGCACCCGGAGAGAACCCACGCAAGCACGGGGAGAACATGCAAACTCCACACAGAAAGGTCCCAGGTGGGGCCCGAACCCGGAACCTTCCCGCTGTGAGGCAACGGCGCCAACCACTGTGCCACCGTGCTGCCCATGAGTGGAGTAGAGGTGGACTTTTTCAAGGCACAGTAACAGGTCTTTGAGAGCCAGAATTCTTGGTGTTTCTCAGGTGTTCAAATACTTATGTTCAGCAGTGCAAGTGTAAATTCTTTAAAAATCATACAATGTGATTTCCTAAAAAAATTTTTTTTAAATTCTGTCTCTCAGAGTGGGAATGCACCTACAATGTGAATTTCAGACCCCTCCATGATTTCTAAGTGGGAGAACTTGCAAAATCACAGGGTGTTCAAATACTTCTGTTCCTCACTGTACATTTAAAACCAATGACATTTTAACTAGAACTCTACCAAACAGGAAGACAAGCTCAGAAACATGGGAAAGCTTTGGTGCGATACAAATGTTGCACATGCCACACACATATTCACACATACGTAGATACTGTCCAATATGAGGCACACTTCACTGAAGACAGACAAAATGTGGATATTTATGTATCTCAGCCATGCTAAAAAAGTGTCATATCCTGTGTCACAGATGGTTTAGCTGTGTGTGCTACCGTAGTACCTCACAGTACCTTGAGTACAGCATTTCCTGAGCTGGTCTAACACAGATCTGACCTGGCTGCTGGTAGACCGTATATCATGCACTCATTCATTTCTGCTGCCCACTGACTTTCCATTACAGAGCAATAGCTTGTGTTGGCTACAATTCATAAACCGCTATCTGAGCTACAACTGGCCAGCAGTTTATGAGCACATCAGAGGCAATGCGGCTTATCTCATTTGGATCTGAATCAGTCCCATCCGACTCCTACAGATCCTATCTGAGTACACACCACTGATGACAAAGAGAAAGTGACAGGCTGTCAGTCAAATAGTTCACCAACATATGGATCCATTTACCATGTGCTGATCCATTGGCCAGATAGAAGCACCAGAGTTTATTACTAATCTATAGAGGGGATATGAGGTGACCTATAGAGCCACACTGAAATTAAGCTTTCAGACAGGAAAATACAGTATAATACTGACAAAGAAAAAACTTCTGTGCTCCATAATTGTTCATTTTTTTCATAGCAGTACTCTTTAATCAGAAAACTAGCACAAACTACATAGATTTCCTGGGTTCAGGAAACTAAACATAGAGCAAGGAATCAATATTAATAATTCATGTCTTCTGGACTTTTTCACACACAGTACTATTTAATGAAGTACTGCCAAAAATAGAAACGTACAGCTACACATTTGGGTCTGTTCCTTCAGTACAGCGATCTAATTTATCTGCTTCACACTGTAGTAACATAATCTCTCTTTAGTGACTAATTGTTGAACAGGCAAGCAAGTCATTTTATTGATGGGGGAGATGTTCTGCCCCTTTAAGTAATAAGGTTAATTAGCCTTGTTTCCTTGGGATTCAAATGCAACAATGCTTATTAAATCAGAAAAACCATTCAGGGAATATGTGAGAAGTGTAATATAATCCCACTGCTATAAACACGACCGTGTCAGTGAAATATTTCTCTTCTGTTTCATATAGCAAGTCCAAGTTTTGTTAAGCAGCCAAGATGTGAAGGCTTGACTGAGATGTTACGCAAATATTTAATGGGCTTTTTTAAAAAATTTTGATTATAAGTTAAATAAAAAAAAACAAATGTTCAAGATTCAGGTATTTATCCTGTCAGAAACAAATTCTTATTGTGGTATTTTTCTTTTAAATTGCTGCTTTTTTTATGGCTAAAGATAAACTTCTGTATTTGTTTGATCTGGCTGCTACTTCACATAATCCGTTTTTAAATTTTTTATTTTAAGACATGACTGGTACCTCGATTGTCAAACACAAACAATGGTTATTTAGGCTGTGTCTTTTGTCACAAAAAAAGCTACGACAGCTGTCACGTAGAGGATATACAAGTCTGAGACTAAACCCACAATAAACATCCCCCAAGAGGGCTTCAGAGGGGCACAAGGAGGAGCGCCGTGACACAAAGTAATAAAACACGTTACCTCACATCGTTGTAGAAAGGGTTAACGTAACATATGTGGACTGATTACACATTCTGAAACACGTGCTTTTCTGTCCCCAAATCCCCTTCTGTGCAGTTTCAGCCTTTGGGAGACCTTTTGTTGACAAACAGGAAAATCTGAATCCCAGATGTGTTTTTGAGTCAAAGGAGAGCAAATCCTGTGTCTTATGTAGCATGTATCAGGTTAAGGCCCACCACTAGCCCTGGGGAGTCCTGGGAAAGGCATCACTGGAGCATGGTGTGCACCTCTGTGGTTTGGCTCCCATCCCGCCCAGGAGCTGGCTATTATCAGTAACTACACAGCACAGCCAACCACACCCTGCTAACACAGACGTGCACACCAATTCACCTACATGTGCATGCTTTTGTTCTGAACATGCGTGCTTCATCTGGAAAATGAAAGCAGAGGAAATGATGGTGTTCAGTGTTCTAAAAGAGGTCATTAATAATCTAAGTGCGTCAATCATATACCATGATAGCGGCTTTTCCACTGGTTCAACCTACTAAGAAGAAGACTAGAGCTGCTCAAGCCCTTAGTGAAGCAGGAAACAAACAAATGCTATGGAAACAAAGTAGCACTAGTCCTGCAACATTGGTCTCTGTTATTCGTGTGAGAGGCTTAGTGTCTGTTCTGCCCAATGTTACTGTAACTAGAGACCCTCCACTTATTTGCCAGATTGAGCCAGATTGTTTGGGGGATTACGATGGGCGGCTGCAGCACTGAGCCGGGGCTTTATGTGTGTGGAGATGGTAACTGATTTAGCATATGCTGAAACACTACACCATCTCTTTGACCCTTGGTGTCTCCCCTGGCCCCTGCTGTGGCCCTCACACTCCTCGTCTGCTAATCGATCCGTTTGGCACCCCTTGTGTGTTGTAAATGTGCGCATACAGCCGGGTGTCTGGTTAGCAGATGGTCGGCTTCATCGTTTCGCCTGCCGCACCGCGTTCGTGTTATGGAGAATGCTTTGTAGCTTTGGGGCTGTGGTCTGAAAGACATTAGTGCTGTCTGTCAGAAATTAATTCCTGGCTTCCTCCAGTTCAGCCCAGACAGTGGCCCTCCACTGTCCTTCTCCCTGCCCTGTGCCACATGCCAACGAGGGCCACTGAGGTAATGCGATATCAGTGTGTTGGAGATGATGAGAGATTGCCTTTGATGAGGCGTGGGAACGCCCAACAACTTTTACACTTGACCTTTCCATTATAGCCTGGGTCTCAGTAGATTTCCCCACTTCCTCAAACAATTCACTTTAACTTGCCCATGTGAAGGCACCTGTAACAGACAAGTACATGCCTGAGCATTACCACACATGCAGCACAGTTGAACCTGACATCTCAAAACACAGTCCTCAATCCACGACCCAAGAAGAGTTAAAGCTGCAATAATGAGGCACTACGCATCACAGTGACAGACAATAATACAGTACATGGTCATTTTACTTTACTAGATTGTAACCAAGGCCACAGTCAAGACAAACAGCATCATGTGTGCGTAAATAGGTTCAGTGACTCCAGAGCTCTTCCAGATGTCCATTTGAGGGCAGTTATGTCATGATGCCACTTTAAACTTCAATGTGTAGCTTTTTAAAAGCACCAAAATATGGCTGTTTATAATTGTAAATTATATAACAATTGACAAAATTAGTATCCTCTGTCCAGTGGCACTGGTTTGTGCATTTCTTTACTGAAAATGAATAAATATCAAATAATATCAAATAAAAAAACACATATTTTCACAAAGACCAGTAGCTCCATTATTTTTGCAACCTATCAATCTCCATCTCAATTACAGCAATTCAATGTGAAATAGACACTGACCATAACCCTAATGCCTAACATGCAC